ATCTCCAGATTGACAGCCTAGACTCCACCCCTACACTCTTCATCCTTAAATTGACACCAGATTAGGTGACTACCACATATACATTTAAAAAGAAAGCATTTTTTTAGAGGCCAGATACTGGTTCCCGCACATGGGCAGGGCCCTGCTTCCTATGAGGAACACCCGCCCCTGCTTTGCCCCGCTCTGGAGGCTCCAGGTGTTGCTTGTCTTGTGCTTCTATCACTTCCACCTCTGCCTCTATCTTCCCTGCGCCTTCTCTTCTCTTCTGACTGTGTCTTCTCCTCTTCTTGGAAAAAACACTTGTTATTGACTAGAGAACGACCTTATCTAGGGACCCTGAACTGAATCCCATGTGCGAAGACCCTCTTCCCAAGCAAGGTCACACTCACACTTCTGGGTGGACATATCTTATTTTGGGGGTGGGGCTTCCATTCGACTGCTGATACGGAACCTCTAAGGGACTGAAAATGATATCACGCACCGTGATGGGGAGGGGTAAGGTGACCGTGACCGATCTCTCCTCCACTCCTCGCTGGACCACCAATGGGAATCGCTGCTGAGTGCAGGCTGAGGCTTATGGTCTCTTCTAAGGATCCCAGTGTTCAGCCCCTCCTATTCTAGTCTTCTCCAGAGACATCCCTGCCCCTGGACTTAGCCCAAGAGCTTTGATTCTAATGGATTGGTAACAACTTCAGTGCTAGCCCGTAGGGACTGACTAATGGCGAGAACTCCACACCGTTGAAATGAACTATGGTTTACAACAAATCTCAAAGTCATCATGAGAAGCAAATGTGCGATGTTCATGTAATGCCATTTCTGTCTAGAGTTTAAAACCAGAATAGTGCATTTTTGGATGGAGGCATCCTTTTGTAGTTCTCGGAGTTCAAGTAGGAGATCAAGGACGGGAAGAATTCAGAGGCACCCTCAGGTCTCCCTTTGCCCCTCCGGGACTCGGTGGAGCTGGCCTAGAAATGATCCTGACCCTGGAATCGCTGTGAAGACTAAGGACTTGGCTCTCCTCTTGGAGGTCTCCTCTGTGGGTCTGACTCGCTGTGCTGCAGCTGGGTCAAGGTCACCAGAAGCGTTTCACGGCACAGCCTAACACTGCAGTCATCAGCTGGGATCTGTGCGCTGGGGGCCCTGCATGCTCACTCCCAGATGAACCGTCCTGCTCCCCTTTATCTTATCCGGCTGCAAGATGTACCTGAGGTGTCTCTTTTGCACAACTATGGGCTCCTGCCAGGCATAGAGCTGGGTATCACTCCAAAGCCGGTCTCAGGGTACCCTGGACACCTGGTGTCAGGTCTGAGAGGCCCGAGAAGTCTGGGGGGCATGAGCGTCTCACCTCACTATTTATCTGACTCCCATCTGAATGCTAGCTCACCGTGCATTAGGGCAAGGTCTCAGCAAGTCATTGGGCAGCTTTGAGAGACCTGTTTGCTCAGTGCACATCCTCGCCAGCTGTTCATGCCTGTGGAGCTGGAGAGACACCGCCAGATTCCATCACTCCATCTACCAGACTCCTTCAGCGCCTGCCTGGTACTGCTCACACTGAGCTCCTGCATCCTCCTTAGAGTTTGCTCCCCCTCCGCCCACCCCACCCCACCCCACAGTCTCATCTCCTGATGACCTGATCATGTCCCTCCAGCACAAACACTCCCCAGGTTCCCCCTTCACCTTCAGAAAATGTCACAGCTCCTGAGCCTGACATTGAACACCATTCAGATTCAGATCCTACCTACTCTTCCTAGGAGCCTCTCCCTCTCTCACCCCTCCAACCCCCCTCCCCTGCCAAGGGAGCTGCCTGAGGGGTTGCAGCACAGGAAGTGCAGCTGGTCTTCAGGCATTTCCCCAGGCTGATCTTTCAGCCTCACAGGCTCTCCTCCCTTCTCATCTTGGTGGACTCCTACTCCAGCTTCAAGACCCCAGCTCCAAAATCCCTGTACTCCTCACTCTGACTCCGTGTCGTGTTCCCATTTCCTGGCACGTCCTGGGCTCTCACTAAATAGCAGCTGAACTGAACTGATGAGGAAGCCCAGGCTTGGAGAGTGAGTGCACAGCAAGTGGAGCAAAGACGGCCAACAGCTAACATCCATCAAAGCCAGGCTGTGATTCATTGGGCACCTGTTAAAATTTTTTTTCATAGAGTTTCTATATGTAAAATCTTTTCTAAATGAGCAGTTACTATCTGTTAAATAAGTAACACTGTATCCATAGGATAAAACAACATGTACCCTTTAAAACTCAGTTACCTAACAACAGCTAGTTATTCAGGGAAAATGGTCAAGATACACTTGGTTTAAAAGGGAGGGTTAGAAACCTGTGGATAGTGGGAACATAATTTCATTTAAACTGTGTAGGTTTACAGAGTCATTCATTATCTGTGGACAAGTGAATGGGTTCTTGGCTCCCACTTAATTCTAGCCCCAATCCAAGATGCTCACCATCATGAAGAGATCACTGAAGATAAGGGAGCTACAGTAAAGTGTGGCGAAGAAAGCAGATGGTGCTCAGCTGTCAAAAAGAATAATGTCTGAGGTCTTAAAGTCTTGTATTCAAACAAACAGCCATATCGGTGAGGAATCAACCAAGACCACATAGAAGCACACAGCCTGTGTGATCCAAGGATGATAAATAACAAAATCCAAATACAAACGAGGGAAAGATAATGCAAATTTAAACTGTGAACCAGGTGGCGTAGTGGTTACACATTGGGATA